CAAAATATATTTCAATATAGTCAGCACAATGCAGTCTAGATTTGAAACTTAAAAAACTATTTCGCAATAAAATTAACATATAGATCTACGAATGTAAAAAAGCTAATAAAAGCTTTTTGTGGACGAGGATAAAATTTCTCACAATGGATGGAATTTCCTTAGATGCAATCGGCCATATTAAAGATATTTATAAAGATATAGCTTTCGTTTTCGCTCTCTCTCGAATAGAGTTTGCTGTTAGTATTACATAATAGAATATGGTAAATAACTGAAGAAAAATGTGTTGTTAAAACCATCAATGATTGCCACGAAACGTTTGAACAAGATGTCGTACCTTATAAATTCATAGAGAAAACTTGTTTGAACACTTGCAGTCGAAACTTAGGCCACTGGTCTTCACTTAAACTCAGAAAACGTTGAGAAATAGACAGTACTGGCCCATGGGCTATATTTACATCAAATATAGCCTCACTTTTCTGAAATAGGTTAAATGTCATGGCTGGTGACAGAAAGCGTTAATTTTTTACTGAAAACTTTTACAAAACTTAAAACGACAGTTTTAAAAAAAATTTTGAAAGTTTGAAAATATGCAGAAAAAGTGTCACTGCTTCAACGGGTCAGTTCAGATTTTGAATCAACTAACTAACTGTTGTTTCGATCCAAAATACGATGAGAGTTCTCCAGGAGATGTGTTGGCTGGTGAATAAGGTGTTTTAGATTTAAAGTCGGGTCGCAACACAGTTACAATTTCTCTGAGGCTATTCTACAAATGCAGGAACCTACAATCTCAAACAATTATATGCCGTGGTAGTTCACAAACACATCTAAACTCACAAATACATACAACTGTAAACCTTTTCAGTGATTTCCTTTTGAAAGGTTTCGAATAATTGCGACCATTTCCGGTGGCAACTCCCACTACAATGAGGTAATATCAGTTGCGTGCACTTGAAATGAGATTTCCATTTTTTCGATACCTATGCAAATTTCTGCCCAGGTGACGTGCTCTAATGCATCAACATTATATATGTATGCGCATATGTAGATGTGTAAGTATGTATGTATGTATGCATTTAAGCGTGTTTATTTTGTGTATAAATTGGAATTTTCGTTTTCTGGCTATTTGGGTAACATTGTAGAAGTGATGTGCCTAGCGGCGTTTACATAAATACATATATACAAAGAGGCGCATATGTATATGTATAGATGTGTGTATGTGTTTATATACTCGTATGTATGTATGTATAGCGTATTTATACTCGTAAATGCTTGTTTATGCATACTCAGCCACTCAATGCGCTGGAGCTAATATCTGTGTCTCTATATATGTGTGCGTAGGCATGTATTTGTATGTGTTTATATATTTGAGTGTTTGTGCTCACCTTCTAAATAAAATTTTATGCTTTTTTCTTTCAATTCGAATATTTGCATCACTACTTCCGTCCTTAGCACCCTTCACATCCGCTGCTCTTTGCAGATGGCACGTCGCTTGCTATTAATCCCGGGCAGCGTATTTAACTTGTTTAACTTTTCAGATTTTCTTGTTTATTTATTTTTCTGGCACTTTTGTTGATTTTCGCTCGTGCGCCGTGCATTCAAGCTCCTACTTGTATGTATGTAATATGCCAGCTAAAGCTCGACAGCGGTGGCGACGTCCAAATGTGGCAGAGTGTTTCCCAAAATACAAATTCGCGTAATTGCCTTAGTCATTCGTGCGTGGTTGTGATTTTTAAACACTAAATACATACTAACATACATATACATAATACATATACATAATACATACATCCGTACCTCATAACCATAACTTGCGCTGATTTATTTCTAAACACGTAAATAAACACGAACACATACACAAACACACAATTGCAGTCAACAAAAAGAGAAAAAAATTGTGGCCACCACGCAATTTGAATAATAATAATTTTATATTTTAAATTAAGTTGTTTTTTTGAAAATTAACGGAAATTATGGTTCCCATAAGCAACAATAATAAAAAGAAAAACTAACAACAAGAAAATTTGATTTAGGCTGCACTGAAGCTTTAATACCCCTCACAGCTGCATTGCTTATAGCATACAAGTCCAGACAAGAGCTTGGTTTCGACAGATCAGTTTGTATGGCAGCTATATGCTATAGTGGTCCCATTTGAACAGTCTATACAGCGACTATAGCGCTGTTGGACAACGATCTGTGCCAAATTTCCCGAAGATATCTTATCAAATAAAAAGGTTTCCATACAACCACCTAATTTTCATCGGTCAGTTTGTATGGCTTCTTGGGGAGAAAAGAACATGAGTAAATTTTTAGACCCATTTCTCAATAAAACTGAGGGAATGGTTCGCTTATATACAGACGGACATGTCTAAATCGACTGAGCTCGTCACGTTGATAATTTATATGAATACTTCATAGGGTCGCTCACGTTTTCTTCTGAGCGTTACAGACATGACAAACTTAATATTGCCAAATCAGGATATAACAATGCCTAGCACAGAATAAAATTTGGATTTGAGTAATCGAGTGTTTGTGCTACTAAATCAAGTTCATTTTTTTGGTTCTAGAAATCTATATCGTAAATAATAATAAAATTTATTTGGGCATAACTTAAAGGTAGTAATCAAAATAATTGCGCGAAAGTGTTTTTTCTTAATTACACATGTTTTCCTTAGCTTGCGTAAACAATCGTATTAATTTCGAGTAAAAGTAATTGAGACCTAGTATTTACATTTGTTTACATTTATATTGACGTATTAATTGACTGCGTCAGCGCCTAATCACATGATACATACAGATATGTGCAAGCTTCGCTTCTTGTTATTCATGCTCTTTATATAAATACATACAATCAAACATACATGCATTCTAACGTACATTCAAATATACATTTATATAGCTAGATATATGCCTCAGCAAAATCCATTTATTCAAAAAATCATTTTGATGGCAATAAAAATAGATTTGAATGTTAATACGAAGTATCTTGGCCTCATCAAAGGCAGCAAAATTCACTAGAAAACCTTACATGGTCACATTTCAAGGAAAATTAGTCAGTAACGTTAGTTGGAATAGTCTTCTGAATTGTTGAAGATTTTGTATTAAAAATTCTTGGAAGTTTTACTGAATATCTCCCCGAATCGTTATTGCTATATAGACTTTATAGAATGACCAAGGAATCTTAAAACTTTTAGAACAATACCAATTTATAAACGTCAAGGCAATTTATACTGAACTCACACGGTCACAAAGACCTTCTTGCCCTGTGTATGCGGCCTTCCTATTTTTATCAAGGTTCGCCGTTAGTTGGGAGTGCTATCCAGTTAATGACCAAGTCGGTGAGTCTAAAAATGCCAATGGTACTTAGAAGAAGACGAGATATAAGGTCTACTAAAAAGAAATTAATTATTTTCGCATTTAGCATAGATAGAGAGAACCGATTTAGTTCAAATATGCTTTGTTTTGTTCGATAAATTTTTGCCAGTTTAAAGGTAGTTTCATAATAAGAATCCTCATTACTATTCGCAAAAAATTGGGACAATCGATTTCCACAAGCTTTCACTAGCACAATCATTTAACGTAGACAGACACTAATAGTAAACACTTCGTATCAGGTTCGGACTATAATGAGAATTCGTAAAACATTCCAACCAAGCTCTCGGAGCTTCTGGCGAGTCTCTATCGATTTGTCTGGCCTGGCGTTGTCTTGATGGAACTTACATCCTCTCCTATTGGCGACAGCTGGGCGCTTCTGAGTGATTGCTTGAGTTCCGATTGATTCAGCGCAGATGGAAATTTGTTGCATACGGTTTTTTTACGTTAACTCATATGACAGCTAAACATCGAGCTTTTTTTTGTATCCAGCTCCAATCGGCTTTTTGTACAATGCTTATTTCCTTGGCAATCGAAACAGTGCTTACAATAGGGTCAGACTCGACGATTTCCATTTTTTTATCGATATTTTCGACATTTAACCTTACAGAGCATGGTGTATTTTTAAATGACCGAAAAATTGCGCTTCACTGGTTCTACATGGTATATGTATAGTAACAGGACCTTAACAACTATTCACATTTTCAGCCGGCTGGCTTGAATTTTCGCAAAAGTTCGAAGAGAACTCTTAAAATAATGCGTATTTTCTCTTTGCTGATGTCTTAGAAGCGTGCTCAAACAATAAAGAGTCAAGCAATCACAAAACTGGCTTAGAAGCATATTTTTATGAAATCTTTTTCGCCAATAAAAACCATATTTCATTCTCCCTTGCTTTTTACTAGAGACTGTGTAGGTGTCAGAGTTTTATCCTGAGCTAAAGACTTTAGAATAATGCGGACATCTCTGCTGTGTGCTTATAAGCTCTAATTGTGTAATATAGTTAGTCTTTAGACTATCGTTAATATTCTACCAAACACTAATGAACCGTTTGAAGTAACGTTCATAATTCATAATGGACTGATTTTCAGCATTTTAATGGCTTCTTCACCAAATATTATACACTAGTTTCTTGAGAGGCTGACCTTCAGACAATGTACAACGAAATTTCAAAGCGAAGACGATTAGACTAGCCATTTAAACATACATTTGGTTTTTTATATCTTTATTATATCCCTCTATAGGATTCTATAAATTTTAATAACACCTTTTAGTACCCCTATAATCGGCTGTCGAAAAATGTTGGGTTCACTATCAAGATCACTAGTAATTTAGATTTTTTTTCGAAGAGAGATGTTAACGGAGCGCAAAGAGTCATAAAATGAACAGCTTTTCTAGAATTCACAGTCAAAAAACTTTATATAAAAAAAAACCAAATAATTAAAAACAAGGTTCAAGTTTAGTGATGCATGCGCGGGAATTCTTTCATATCGAAAATTGGAGAAGCGTATTTCAAATATATAGTATAATACCGTTACATGAAGTTTAACTTTTATTTAGGAATTTTCTGAAGTTTTCTATGTGAATATTTATAATATAAATATTTCATAAAATTTTTAAATTTTTTCTTACAGATGATATGTTAAACGCTAGTAACCATCTACAGCGCCTATGTCTACAAGATGAACTACTGTTAACGGTAACATACAAATGCAGCAACAATATTTTATTATCACACGCAGGCGGCACATTGAAACTGCATATCGCGACGGGAGCGTACAACAATAACAACTGAAAGGTTTGCAATACAACCAACAACAATAAAAACGAAACACAAAATCAAATCACAAATCCCTATATTACAACATTACAACAACACACACTAGAAGCAATTTAACATAAATATCATATATATATTAACTGTAGTTAAAGTGGCCTACACTCTAAAATATTTCTACTTAAGATCACATTGACACACACACGCACACACACATAAACATAAAATACATACCAACGTAACACACGTAAATATATACGGTTTTTATGAGGCACCAACAGACACGCACCTATCAAAGCTCCCAAATGAAATTTATACCTAAAAATATGCACTACTCGCATGCAGCTATGAATCTGATAAATATGGATTCGGAAAATCGGGTCGTGCTGAATGTGGGCGGCATTCGGCACGAAACGTATAAGGCTACATTGAAGAAAATACCCGCCACTAGATTGTCACGCCTCACCGAGGCGTTAGCCAACTATGATCCCATATTGAATGAGTATTTCTTCGATCGGCATCCGGGAGTCTTTGCTCAAGTACTTAACTACTACAGGTGAGTTCGACAAACTAATATGCTAATATTGTTATGTTAATAAAATTGATTTTTTTAGAACCGGCAAGCTGCATTATCCTACAGATGTTTGTGGGCCACTGTTCGAGGAGGAGCTCGAGTTCTGGGGCTTAGATTCGAATCAAGTCGAACCATGCTGTTGGATGACATACACGCAGGTTAGTATCTTGAGTAAAACTTAAGTGAGGGAGTAGTTAATGCCGAATCTTTGCTTATTGAGGTGGCATCTATCGAGGTTAATATTTGCTCTCATAAGGAATCCTTATGTTAAGACGAATAGAGAATGTTATCCGTACCAACCTTCGATTCATCTCAGCATTGGACTACTTGTACGAAAATTTGTGCGGATCAGATGTCTTTAAGTTGTTATTAAAACTTTTTTAACACGGCTAATATTAAAGTACCTGGGATTAGAAAAGAAGACTAAATAATAAGACCCTTAACTAACTGACTTAACCGTCTCTTGGCTGTCTTGTCTTAGCATAGAATATGAAAGATAGCTCAATTGTCTACAGCCTACAGGTTTGGTGGAGACATCTTCGCATAATATTGCTAATCAGTGAAGAGATTCTATATCAGGGACGTCACTCCTTTTTAGACGATATGGTTAGAAGAAAACTTGCCAAAGCTTCCGTATTAGGAAAAAAATAATTCCTGGGTGGACAAAGAATACTCATCAAATAGCATGGGTGCAATGTCTAATCATAGCATTTGCGAACATAGATCTTAAAGTCTGTATTCAGATTACTTGTTTCTATATATATATATTCTATCTAATAAGTATAATTATATGATTTAATATTCTCTCTTTTTCAACTACAGCACAGAGACACCCAAGAGACATTAGCGGTATTAGATCGTCTGGATTTAGATACAGAAAAACCGTCCGAAGAGGAATTGGCGCGCAAATTCGGTTTCGAAGAAGACTACTACAAGGGCACATTATCGTGGTGGCAAGAAATGAAGCCGCGCATCTGGTCGCTCTTCGACGAGCCATACAGTTCGAATGCGGCCAAGGTAAGACATATAACCACACATTCTTACACTTCACATTTTTAATATTACTCTTCGTCTCTTCTTTGTTTAAACAGACAATCGGCGTAGTTTCGGTATTCTTCATTTGTGTATCCATATTATCATTCTGCCTAAAAACACATCCAGATATGCGCGTGCCATACCTCGTTAATACATCGGTGAATACATCCAGCGGTAATATGGCTTGGTATATCGATAAACCACAAACAAATGCACATATAGCTTTCTTTTATATCGAGTGTGTTTGTAATGCCTGGTTCACGTTCGAAATACTGGTGAGTATTTTGCTGCGAAGATTTTGTTGTTGTGTGTGTTGTATAGTATATTCGAATATTTTTAGGCTAAGTTAGTAAATTTAAGTACACGATAGGTTAGCTTTCGAGTGGGTAGAGTAAAGCATTCAATACTTATGGGCTTCTGTATGCAGTCTCAAACTCCCGAGTGTGTTTCAAAAAAAGAGAAATTTTCTCCTTATGAATAGTAAATAGCATAGGAATCCAGCTCTTGACAAGATATCATGGACTGGGAGTTTCTTAAGATCTTAAATTATAAAACTTATTAGGTCTTTGAATTGAGGAACAGGTTCAATAATACTTAGATAAGACAGCTAGACCAGTAAATCAATAGACCTTCGAGAACGCTTTCATGTGAGCTACATATGACACATCTATAACTTAAACCAACCAAAGAGCCCTGAGTGCAGTATACCCAACCTGTGCGTACGGTTCTTCACTTTCCATTGCTACAATAGGAAAGTGCTGGAAACTCTATAGACGTAAGTAAGGTTAGAATTTTCTTGCCTCTCTCTTAGAGTCCAAACCAAGCGAGAGTATTTCTACAGACCTTCTGTTAGGGATATATCAATGCATAATATATAGACAGAAAAATATTTTTCGAGAATCCTCATATTGAAGGCTTTAGGAAGCTGATTTTTTATGGTCTCTGTTGAGAATCTGTTGCTTCAGCTTCTCAAGCTACTCACTACTTCTTTTGAGTTGAGAAACAATAAAATAAATGCTCCTCTTTAGTAACTTAGCCTGAGAGTTTTTAGAGTCTCACAGCATATATTTAGAGTTATAGTACCTAGAGCATAGCATATACCAAATTCATATCTACTATATGATATATAAAAATTTACAAATAAATTCACTAATTTATGCATTCCTCTATACCTATCTTTCAAATGTAAAAAACAAAAACAATTAAAAACGTCTCTCTTTCACCATTTTTAGGTTAGATTCATATCCTCGCCAAATAAATGTGAATTCATAAAGTCATCTGTTAACATCATAGATTATATAGCAACGCTTAGTTTTTATATCGATCTTGTGCTTCAACGGTTCGCCTCTCATTTAGAGAACGCCGATATTTTAGAATTCTTCTCAATTATACGTATTATGCGTCTATTTAAATTGACGCGTCATTCGTCCGGCCTTAAAATTCTAATACAAACGTTTCGTGCATCGGCAAAAGAGCTCACGCTGCTGGTGTTTTTCCTCGTATTGGGCATTGTGATTTTCGCAAGCCTAGTTTACTATGCGGAACGTATACAACCGAATCCGCATAATGATTTTAATAGTATCCCGTTGGGTCTATGGTGGGCACTGGTCACGATGACCACCGTCGGTTATGGTGATATGGTGCCGAAGACCTATATTGGCATGTTTGTGGGCGCATTGTGTGCGCTTGCCGGTGTGCTAACGATCGCACTGCCCGTACCCGTCATTGTGAGCAACTTTGCCATGTACTACTCGCATACGCAAGCACGAGCCAAACTGCCGAAGAAACGGAGAAGAGTGCTTCCTGTTGAACAGCCCCGTCCACCAAGGTTGCCAGGTGAGTAAATTTTTGTTTTTCAATTTCATTTTTTTATTATTATATTTCCGTGTGTGGCATTTATTTTATTATTTTAACGGTATTTTATACCTTCGCAACAATTTAAACTTTTTATTTACCTAACAAGAAAGATTATATAGGATTAAAAATTGGGTTGAAGTTATATGAATGTGGAGATAATATCGCAACGTTCGTATTGTCTTTCATTTCTCCGTCCCTTCGTGTAACGGATAGCTTGAGAAAAGGGTCTAGATATAACTCGCTAGAAGTTTTTCAGTATCCAAGCTTACTTGGTGTTATCTATAATGAATTCGACTGGACTTTACCAAATCTTTTTATATAACGATATTTTTCAAATTGCTCATTACTTTCAATTGACGAGAGCATTTAATATCCAGTTTCGTGCGAAATTAACCCTTATATTTTTAATTTTATTCGTTAATTTTAAAATTTTTTACTTTTTACCACAAATTTATTAACATTTACTGCCTTCCAGGTCAAACGGGTGGCGTAAGCGGTTGCGGTACACCCGGTTCCGGTCCACACTCCGGACCAATGGGATCTGGCGGCACCGGTCCGCGGCGTATGAATAACAAAGCCAAAGATTTGGTCAGTCCGAAGTCAGGTAAGTGAATGTTGTTGTGCGCCTAAAAGTCGACTAAGTTTGTGCATTTATTATTTATTTGCGCTACTTTCATATAAATACCTATAAAATATGCAGTTAAGCAAATTTTCTATATGCGCAACGGCTTCTTTCCATCTTTTTTTATGAATATAAACAAAAATAAAAATTGCAAAACCTACATGCAAACAATAACACACATAAGTGTAATACGATATAGTATAATGCCATAGTTATAAGAAAAATTTGTGAGAATTTATTTAGGCATAGACCGGCTTCAAATAGCACCACAGCAGCGGCGTTCTATAATCTATACAGCAAACATACTCGTACATATATGTAGCTAGTTGGCCAGTCACCAGTAAACAGCGTGTTAGTTTATATGTATAGCACTAACAGTAACATAAACATAAATACTCATATGTATGAATATTTGATGCTAAGCTCTAGGCACTACCGTAGACACTAACTATGTTAACCTGCCCACTTCCAGCTAACCGAAAATTGCAGCTTTTATATGCCAAACCAAGCAGCAAATGTTCCGCACCGCCAAACATAGACGTCTAATCAAAAATTTATACCACAATTTTCACTCTAACAAGCATATGTGGTGGGTCATACGCCTAAATGTATGCTAGGCATTCATATACAATACATATACATATATATATATATATTTATATATATAGAAAGCAACAATTCCAATTTGTCGTACGCAAGCAACACAGCAAATACCCACCCATCCCCGGCTAGAAAATTTTAAATTACCTGCTGCACGCGTACCTCAGTAACAGTAAAGAATTTCTCATAAATACATACAAACATCTGCATATTCATAACTGTGTGCCTATATGCCATAAACATCAGCTATTCCATGTGTATATGTTGGCACTTATACGTACTCATATTACCTCTGTCCCTCATACTCATGTATCTGAACTGCTCACCTGCGTGGAGCCGTCAGTCGGTACGTTCTGCCCCTCAATCTGTGCGACGAAATTCAGCAACAAAATCCGCTATTTAGGTAAATTTAAATAGTCCTACCACTTAGGTGGGCGTCATAGTTGTTTTAAAAGATTAATTCGATTTTTTTCTACACTCTACATGTGTAGCCATGAGTGTGTAAGCTATATACGAATGTGTAAGCTATATATGTACGATATAGACGTGAATGTGCGTTTGTGTTAAACGTCTATATCCTATTCATAAGCGCAACAATTTGTTAAAAGTGATTTAGGCAGCCCGACACTGAATGTGTACCGGAAAGTTACAATGTGGAGAAAATAGTAGCATACATATAGGAGCGCATTTCAATAAGATTTTAACATTGATTCTGTTTCGAAAATATACGGAATATAATTATTTGCTTTTAAAGTTTAACTGGCAGTTTAGTTTCTGAAACATTCTAACCAAGGAAGTATACGCTCTGACCTAATGTTTATCAGGTTTTACGTGGAAGAAAGCATTTTCATCCGTTTACTATATTTAATTTATTCTTAAGGGTCAATTCCTTAAGATAAAGAAAACAACGATGGCGGTATGAGTTTTGGGTTGATATTCAGTAGTTCACTAAAGGGATTTATACTAGTATTCAGACTGATTTTTTGGAGGTGTTATCAGATTGCCTAAACATAAGTTGAAGCATGTATAGAACTCATAGCTATCATTCAGCAAGATTAAGCTAGCAACACATCTAAGGGGGAACTCTTAGCAAAGGTTTCAGACTTTATTAAACTACTTGACTTTTAGGGAACACACTTGATTCTAGGAAATCTAGGAGCAATATTCGTACGGCAAAAGTTTGGATTTTGTTGTATGGTAAACTCGAATTATCTTTTGAAATAAAGTTCGATGGAGAACGATGCGGTTCTGGGTTCTAAACACAGGAAAATAAATATCCTTATATTATACTGAGATATGCTTAAAGGTATACCGACGGATCTAGAATGGAACAAAGAAAAGTTAATAGACTCAAATGATTTGATGAAAATTTTATGGTTTTGTGTTAGTTCCCGTTGAACTTCCATATATTTCGGTTCCAATCATCATGAGTCTCCAATGATGAGTACCTTGTCACACAAGTAGTAGTTATATAATGTAGTTATATAATATAAAATATTTTTAAGAATAGTCGAGACCTTCGCACAATTAAATTTCACGGGTTACAACTTAAATGTCGTGAGTTTTAAAAATCAGAATCACATAGGGCTGACCATAAGTGTTTTGTTAGACTTATAAGCAAAGTTTTGTTAGGCAATATTTCCATCTTAGGTTATCATTACTTGCTCAATACCTTGGACGTTATATGCATATATATGTATATAGTAAAATGTTATGATACGGTAAATATAGTTTTGTTTTTCAGTTTTTATCCAAACCGATTTGCTTGTTAGGTTGGAAGGTGTGATGACACTTCTGAGTGTTAAAAAATATTGTTTGAACTTCTTATCGATTTCTTCGGATATAATTTATAATATTTCTCGGGTTAATCGATCCATTTCTAATTGCTCGTTTAATTTCATCTAAAATTATGTACTCCTTTATATAATGTATATAAGATATGTTCAATATATATAATTATATATGTATGTACGTACGTATGTATTGAATATCCTATATGCTTTACCTGTTAACATCATTATTATGCATTTTTGTTTTTGTAAATATAGATGAATACTCAACAATGATTGGCAAGCCAAAGGATGGTAAAATGGGTAGGCTGCTTTGAAATAAATAGCGGCGTTGCTCACCACACATAGCTGTGCCACCAACATTAGCCATGCATAAAAGCGTCAACACAAACAATAATAAAAACACGGTTGTTGCCAATGTTGTTGAAAATATTGAGAACAGTGAAATGCAACAAAGAATGTGTATAAAACAAACGACGAAGACGCGAGTAGGAAAAATGACGGAAATGCTTGAGTGTAGGCTTTGAATTTGAGTAGACAAAGCGACTAGCGGCACTAGCGGCAATACAAAAATATCCATCCAAAAGAAAAATACAACAACAACAATAAATGAAAAAAACAACAAACACATGTTCAGCCAAATCATTGTAAATAAATCATAAAATGCACAAATGCCGATTTTCACCAACACACGTCCGCACAGTAAATGCATTCTAGAAAGCGCTATTTTCATAATATATACACACACACATATATATATTATACATACATATATACATATACCTTCAGCACACCGCATTAATAAATAGCCTTCCTTAGATAACCTAAAACACCAAAAAACTTAAAATTATATCTATATATGTAGTCGAACATCGTCTCGAGACTCGAACAGGCAGCACACATACATACAGCCGCATACAACTTAACTGTTAACCAAATACATAAGTACAAGTATATAAGCAAATATAAGTGATTCGTTGCGTTTATATACTGATCAGGCAACAACAATAACGCCATTATTATAATTCACCAAATAAAACAAAGCAGCAAAAAAGACATCCTCGATTCAAATATAGCAACAACATATACTACGCCCGATCATACAAGCACCCCCATCCACCATTGGGCTCCTACCAACAATTTATGCTTTTCGCAGAAACGCTAGCTTCGTCTTGCATCGTACTTTCTTTGCTGTGGTATGTGTAAGTTGCGTTGTGTAGAATTCTACTTGAGTCCCTCCTTAGAGCGGTTTCTCGAGGCACAACAGCGCTACTTACTTTTATATCGTCGTTTGCTTTTACTTGTATTTTACGTAATTTTTTATTGTCGTAATGGCGTGTCGGTATGTGTCTGTATTTTTCTTCTTCTTCTTCTTCTTCAACTTCTATTACTACTTCTAAGTTGCATTGTTTGATGCCTTGTGTTCTCATAAATGTCTAGCTACAGTGCCTTTGTACTGATATCTAAGGTGTTATTACGAAGTTTTACTCTCGAAATTTCTTTCTTGAGGCGCAGATATTACCGTTAACTTAGAAAATAGATATGGTTTTTCGAATTATGAGATACTATTGTGATTTAAAAAATCGTTGTATCTTAGGTTAACTAAATTTACTAATTATGATAAGTCTTTTCCAGGATAAGAAGTTCTCAAAAATCGGTAGGGTATCCCTATTTTTGCAAAATATTTTTGCACCATAGTTTTTTAAATTTTTACGCATTAAATATAATCAAAACAGTTGTATTCAAAATGCAATTTGGCAAGAAAACCATATTATTTACAAATAGGGTGGTCCATTTTTTTTAACTTATTTTCAATTTAACGGTGTTCTCATATGAAATTAAGAATACCTTTTTTTATGATGATGAAGTCTTTTATATTTACTTTCTTGAATTTTTTTATTCTTGATTTTTAGATGGCTTCAAAATTGTCAAATTATATTTTATTAGTTCTCAAAAATCGGTAAGATGGCGCTATTTTTCGAAAATATTTTTGCAGAATGTTTACCCCTTAAATTATATTATATACACAGTAGGGTGATCTGAATGCGATTTGTTAAGAAAATCATATTATTTACCATTAGGGTGATACATTTTTTAAATTTCTTTTTAATTTAAAAACGTTTACATATGACTCACATAAATATTCAAATTTAAAATACTTATTTCTACTTTCTTACTTCATATTTTGAAATTGCTTCAAAATTGTCAAATTTTTTAAATTTCGAATGAATACTACTTTAGATATTGAAAATATAGAATTTTTGAGGTATAAAGTTTTATAAAGGAATAGCTATCATACGAGGTGTCACTTGTGGTTATTAGTATTGTCCACTATACTTTGACAAACACTACTCGAGCCGTGCACTGAAAGAAAAAATGTTCGTGAATAAAAATTGGTTTAAAATTTGTGGATATTTATCTCAAAAACACGAGATCGCTGCATAAAACTTATATTTACATTTTGACCGAAAAACCATTTTCAGCCGTGAGGTGTATTCCTTACCTAATAGGAGCGTAAGTAAGCGAAGTTGTCAGAAATGGAGTACAAGCCTAAAGATACTCTATAGACTGCCATATATTTTATTTATTTTAAGAAATTTAATTTTTTTGAAAAAACAATAAATTTTCTATGAAAATATGGACAACCCTAATTATTTTATGCGTCATAAAATTCTTAAACAGAAGTTTTTTTTTGAAAAAATAATTGTGTTTTCTATGAATATGTGGGCCAGCTTTTTTTTTGTTAGTTTCCGTTTATGTTTTCAACCAGGTAACCAACTACTTTTCATATTTTTCCAACTTTTATATCTTTCAGATATGGCCTTCAGTTTCGACTAACTATTTGTACATGTTGTTGTAATACCCGATAACGTAACCTCAATTCAAACAAACAGAATGCAAAAATTGAATTGCACTACAAAACACTATCATGATTTTAATTTCCATAAATACCGTTAAATTGTAAATTTATCAATTGTGAAAAAAAAAACACCAACAAAATGCGAAAATATCACCAACAAATTGAAACGAAACGAAACAAAATGTGAAACAAAAAATCAAAAAACGAAATTAAGTCAAAACGAAAAGGTATCACAAAAATGCATACCTACGGATTCTGGGCGGGTGTGTTCATCTTCCTAAATGTACATTTTTCCTCCTATTTTTACTTGTAACAAATTTTAAATATTTTTTTTCTCCAGACATTTAACATATAGTGCAATTATTTGTATATGTAAATATACACGAGTATTGAATCCAATTATAACGCTGCTCCCAAATAGCACCACCCTTTAGAATAGAAACATTTTAGTATAGGTGTGAATAGCCTGATGACATTAGTGTTTCACTTAAATCCCTCCTACCCCATTTTTAATCTAAACTATGTATTAAACTATTTAAAAAAATAAATATTGGCGTCTCCAATCATTTCGACAGCGCTGTATATACCTACATATGCTTAAAGATGATTTTAAATCGAAATTCGGTGATTTTTTTGATAAGCTATTGTTTATAATGCATGCTATAAATGTTATAGATCTCTTTATACTTGAATGCACTGTAGTCAATAATATTTTTTGATTGAGTGAAAATTATTTTCAGGTTTTTTTTGTAAGGAAAATCTTTTCTGGTTTTTACTCAGATTACACTAAAAATTTTCAAAACCAAATATTCTGATTTTTATTTATTTCATTCTCCATTTTTATCTAATTTTCTAGATAAGAGAAGAGATAGTGGAAATTTGCTATCTTGAATTAGAAAAACCGATCATCTTTCTTGTAAAAGAAGAAATTGTTTGCGGTGGTGGTGAGTGAAGCTTTTCAGGTTTTAATCTGAAATCGTTAGGTAGTACAAATTTAAATGAATTTTTGGAGAGTGTTCAAAGATCTAATCTTTTTCGGATATTAATTGAGTACAGGATAATATTCATCAGATAATTCTCAGTTACAATAAATAATGTGAAAATGGAACTCATTAGAAAAGTGCTTTCAGCGACCTCTAGCGGCTTAATAATAAAGAAAAGTCTATATTACTTCAGTCCAGTATCCAGAATCTTTTCAAATTACACAATATCTATAATAGTAATACAAGAGTTTTAATTTGAGCTTGTGAAAGGACTGTAGTCTTATAAATAGATAATATTTTAATTCAGCGCTGTCTTGATCTTTTCTGAGATGTTGTTGAACTAGATCCAAAATAGTGAAAGCTAAACCGATTTGAAAGTTTTTTGTTTAAATTTTTTAGTAGAATGTCAGAATGGTTCGAAAAAAGCTTTGAGGGTTGCCACCTATTTGAAATTTTTAAAATGCAATATGGTTATCAAACTAAACAGTTTTAAGCAGGCTTACAGTTTAAAATATTTTTAAAAAGGGTTGCCATATGTGTATTAATTTTTAAGTGTATTGATGGTGTTTGAAAAGTGATCATAAGGAATAATATTGTATAACTGTTATTTTTATGAGCGCAACGGTAATTGTGGGAGTCATAAAGAACGCTTAAAAAGTATTTTATAGCATTTTTGTTTGATATTATTTTGCTTTACAAAAAAATATTGCTTTTTTATTACTGAAAAGCATATTCACTCAATAAAAAAATATTTTTAAGCTCTCCTCCTTTGTATATAATAAATTAAAAATTTGCTTGCCTTGCTTGTGTAAACGCTTTGAGCATGCTTTTCAATTTTTTTTAAATATTTTTATTGTAAATTTAATTAATTTCTGCTTGCTTTTACATCTACTTTCCTTCGTAGTATTTTCACTCAATTATTTAGTTATAAAAAAGTAGCAGAAACAATTGAATTTAGCGGAGTTACTTAGAAGTACCGAATTTTTCTACAATCTGGCACCGCTTAGCCTCTTTCAACTTGCAGCTTAGCTCATTAGAATTTACTTGCATCGATTGCACCGGTTACAGTTACTTGAAACTAGCTTTAAATTTTTACTAGAAAAATTTGCTACAACAATTATATATTTTATTAATCAAATTTTTAACTTTTCTTTCTCCTTGCAACGATCACTTTGTTGTTGGCGCACAATTACCATAAACAGGTCCTATCGGCGCCAGCATTGTGGCGATGAGTCCGCGCACTATGTTGGACTTGAATCCGGCATTGGCGATGGGAAAACCGACATTCGAATCAAAAGGTCCACCAATCACCAGCAAGGATATCAAGGATACGGCAAGCATACGCAATCCGCTGGATGGCGGTGGCAAGAAGAACTTTTTATAGATGTAGTATTTGTATAAAAAGTAGTGCAGAAGTTAATGAAAACAAAAAACAAACAGATAATTGAAAAAAAAGTAAATAAAAAATATTATGAAAATTTATAGTCGAAAGTCAAGTGAAGATACGAAACTGTTTGAGAGGCGCAAAAAGGTAGTAGAAAGGGTAGACGAAAAGGTTGTAGAGAAGTTAGCAAAAAAGTAGTAGAAATTGTGTCAGAAAAGCGAGTAAAAAAGGTGTTAGCTTAGAATAAAAGCGGTGGAGCGTGAATTGTACCAAACCAAAATGCATTTTAACTAATTGACTAATTAATTTATATAATACTTAGCTAAAAAAAATAAATAATATTGTATGAAAAGAATTGAATTGAAACCCTCGCACAACGAGGGAAGCCTACTAGTTATTTCTAATATACATGCATACATACATACATATACATATATACATGAATAGCAAATTCTAATAGCCTAAATATTTCTAACCAACTGCATACATACATATTTACCTACTACAAGCATAACTTTTACTACTACAAACATACTATGAATTTACCTAACATATTACCTACTACTTAACTAAAGCATATATCAACAAAAAATACATACCTGCATACATACTAATAACCTAAACGTAACCAAAATAACGCTTTTACTCCAAACAATTATGATTGAAGAGAGTTAGAAATAATGCTAAATACCGCTACTTTATGAAAAAAGTAAATATATGAAAACTACTCACAATTTCACGCTCAATTCAATGCTTCAAAAATAAAACGCAGTTGACAGAAACCTATATTCCATTTTTAATTAAAGCAACGGTATATAATTATAAAAATTCCAAGTAATCAGTAACAGAAAATATAATATTATATTTTAAAAGAAAATGCGAATGTTGCATACAAGAAACGAAACAGGGTGTCTCAAACTGAAAAAATATGAACGCAAAGCAATTAGAGGGTGTCGTGATAGTTTTTTTCTTTTCAACTTAATAATTTTTACTGTTTAAAAACATTTATTTAAAATTTTTTTTAAGTAAAAAATTTCTGAATATATAACTAGGAAAAGGTATTAGCAAAGGTGGTAGAAAAGGTAGTAGAAAAAATTAGTATGAAAAGTTTGTAGAAAAGAGAATTATTAGTTTTCTGAAAATATTTTAGCATTTGTGTCAATTCTTATTTTTATTTTTTTTTACCAGTTTTTTAAAATTATTTTTATTAATTTTTTAAATGTTAAACTTCCTAAAAACCAACTGACATATCAGCCGCCAATTGATTAGCATATATTGTACCTATATTATACATAAGTTAAGATATAAATTTTTGTCAGTAATTATTAATTTTTAGATTTCTAAAATAATTAAAAAAAATTAGTTGCAAAAACTTGTTACATAAATCTTTTTCGTCAGTATTCTAAAGCCCTATTCCTATTCGAGTCTAAGTAAATATTACATATCCAAGCCTCCTGATCCGTTTAAACGTATATGCGTACTTAAATACATACAAGTATATCAAATGGTAACCAATCGAATTGTAAACACTTTTTTTATACAAGTCTAAATTAGTGTGCGACTTTTAGAAATAAAAATAAAATGTTAGTGTTTTTTTATGCAAGAATTATATGCGAAATTGAAGTAAATTATAAAACAAAGAAGTTTAGAAACAGTACAATAATAATGAAATAAAAAATAATTTATTTTTAATTTTGTTAAAATTTTTTTAAAATATTTATAAATATAGTTTGCCTAATTTTTAATTAAAAATCTTTATATACCGTCCTTATTCGTTTTGTTTTTTTTTATACTTAAAATTTATAAAAAAAAAATAAACTTTTCATTATATACGTAGGCTAATTAATATGTATATCTTTAAATTCCAGCATCACCTATTTCACACTAAAATTTTAATTAAAAAAAATATTATTTACAATGAGCAGGGTTACGAATTTTTTAATCAAAAATTTGTGATTAATAATAAAAAAATTTTTTAATCCCGATGTTGAGGTTAAAAAATACATTTTAATTTTTTAATCTAAGATGTTTGGAATTAAGAATCTAAAACATTTTTTTTTTGTTTGAATGAACGCGAAAAAATGTTAATTCTGAAACAAGTTATTTTTTAAACTCTTAATAATATGCTTGAGATTAAAATTTTTATTTTTTATTTTTCAATCCGGTATTTTTAATTTTTAATCCGGTAGGCGGGATTAAATTTTCTTATCCCGTATTTAGGGTTACAAAATAAAACAAATTTTAATTTAAATGTTAATTCAATTATTATTTAGTGCATTATTTGCAACCTTGCCTACTTGTATAAGCTTAAAATATATATATTTCTTAATTAATTACGAATGGTTAATAACGAATGAGTTTTATAATTGTCATTAGTTTTTATTAAAATAATATTTTTTGGAAAGATATTTAAAAAAAATATAAAAAATTAGTAAAATTTAAATTTTATTTAAAATATTATTTTTTGGAAAAATTTAAAAAAATAAAAAATATTTTTGTTATTTAAAAATTTGTTAATTTAAGGCAGTTAAAATAACTATAATAATATATATGTATATGTTTTTAAACTGGTTTTTAAAGTAATATTGTTTTTTTTTTTATATTCAAAAAAATTGTTCATACATTTCTGTTAAAGTTCGGATAACTTTTTTTGAAAAAAAAATTAATTTAATTTTAACAATTTTTATTCAAAAAGTTGGTACTAAATTTAGACTAGTTTTCATTTATAATATAATTATTCGTTTTAATTAAACATGTTAACATTTTTATTTTTTTTTTGATTTTTTTTTAAATTTTTATTGAGAATTTGGTATAGATATGTATGACATATTAAAATTTCACTGATTTTTAATAACCTTAGAAAATATCAATTTTTACGATTGTTTTCATTTTAAAATTAAGATTTAAGAGAAACTACGCCAAAAAATATTATTTATTAACATTGGTTTAATATTTTCACTATTACATTTAATTAATTATAGCTTTAATTGAATTTTTTTTTAGTTAGAAAAAATTTTTTAATATAATTTTTGTTAATCAAATTTTTTAACTTCAAATTCTTTTTTACTTTTTATTAACAACAAAAACTGTATATAAAACCAAAAGAGTTTCTAAATACATATGATAAGAAATATGAAATTTTAACTAAAAATAATAATATAAATAACATAAAAAATTAAAGCAATACCAACTAGCTTATTAAATGAAATAAAATTAAATGAAAAGAAAAATTATATTAAAAATTGATTAAAATGCGTGCTTAGAAAATCAATTGCAATAAAATTCTAAGCGAACTATAGGAAACACACACAGCTAAATCTACTGTAATTAAAATTTAAGCAACTAAACAATTTGAAAAAGAAGAAAACAAAATAGAAAATAAAAAATTAAACAACAAAATCCAAACTACGCGTAATAATAATTTAAGCTTTCGGAGTGCGTAAGCTTTTTATGATGAACTTGTTAAGTTTTTCTAGCAATTTTCTAAAATTGTAGTTTATCTATACATACGTACATACAAAAAACATTTACTAATTACTATACATAAATACATACTATATATATGTAAATGTACATATGTTTTACTTGTTGTTCACTTGTTGTTAAGTTATTCTTGAGAACTCTATATTATTTTCTTTCGAAGCAATTATGTAATTTAAACCAAACATAAAAACTCGAGATTATTTATTTGCGAATATAGGCATTAAGCTAAACTGTATACTATTGAAAAATGATATTATTCCTTTAATGAAAATTGATAAATAAAAAATTAAAACAATAAAAAATATAAACAAAAATATTTCTCATAAACAAATAAGTGGTTTGATTGTTCCCAAAAAAGAAGGGCTTTAAGACCGACTTAAGAAAAATTTAAATATGCCGTTATTTTATGGCATGTGCAGCTGAGTTAGTACGAGGTATCTGGTAATTCATGTAAGGAAAAATTTTACAAAATAAATTCAAGATGACCATGATGACCAAAAAAACTAATCTAGTCAATTTAATATCACGCACTGATCATACCTGATAACGATCGAATGGTAAGTTCTAAATTTGTTGAGCAAATAACATTGAAATCAGAGAAAGCATTAAGTAGAAGAGGGCCAAGAAGAGCCACTGAGAATTATCAGACTCGAAGACACCCACTGAGCAGTAGTGTGATCTAAGAAGAACAGTGATGAGTCGGAAAGGGACAGATCGAGCCATTGGGAATCAGTTAGAGCTCGGAAAAATCATAGAGTGAGTCAAAGAAAACCATTAAGAACCAGTGAGCCACTGAGAACCAGCCAGAGTCTGGTAGAGCCAATGAGAGCCATACAAAACAAGCGAAAACTGAGCTTGATAACAAGTGAAAACCAAGTAGAGCCACTAAAAATCATTGAGAATCAAGAAGGCCCCGTAAGAGCACCTAGGAACCGGAGAGAGCCACTGAGAATCAGGCAGAAAAAGTGAGAGCCAGGAAGAGCTACCGAGGACCACAAAATACCATCGAGGATCGGGGAGAGCTACTGAGAATCGGGGAGGGCTACTGAGAGCCACTAAGAACTAGTTAGAACTTGGGAGTACCAAGGAGAGCTACTGAGACCTAGGGGCTGCCACTGAGAATCAGGGAGAGTGACGGTTCGTTTGCTTCCTGAATATATTCTCACTACGTTCGATATATTTAATGTAAAATATACTAGATGCGCTAATATTATATATGAGAGTGTGCACCTCAAGGTACCTTTGGCCAAACTTCTCTGGGTGTTTGGCCGTCGCTTTGATTCCCGAGTACCTACCGATACATTTTCTCCCGCTTTTTATTGGTTGAGGGAATTTGTGAAAAGCTTTTTACCCGAAGGCGTACACGTCTGGAGATGGAATCTGTTGGAGAAATATTTTGATTTGATTTTAACGACTTTAGAAGGTGAAGATGATGACGTATTTAAAAGCCTACAAGAATTTTCATGAACACTTTAACTTCAGAACATTATTTAAATTTACTGATGATTAAAAATAGTATATACATATTTGTATCTTTCACTTACCGGTAATAAATATCGTTGAGTTGTAAACCAATTGCTGCAAAGAAAATAAAATTATTTCTAAAATTAGATTAAATTGTTGACCAATAATTAATATACCAAAAAAAATATATATATATATAAAATT